ATACACTATCAATTTTTGCATTTCCCATATCTAGGTTCCAAAGCATTGTTTCGAGTTATTAAAACAAGAAACCACCTCGATCAACTCCTATTCACAAGTGTACGTAGTTACTAAATGCATCACTTTCGACTCTAGTCTTAAATCTTAATTAGATTACTTGCATCAGATCCAAGTATTATTTTGATTAACTTGAAATAGCACGATCAAAATAAATGAAACATTTGAATGAAAACACTTTTAGACAATAAGTGAAGATGCTATTTACAAATATAGATGTACCTGTATATACAAGCTGTGGCGATTGGTACGTACGTATTTGCTGAGATATAAGTAAGTTCATTGGAATATACATACATAGATATATGTACACGGTTACTAAACAAGGAAACAATTCCATTCATTTCAGATTTTATACGTACATATAGGTACCGTTTGGTACGTGGGACGGGACGGAACAGAGTGGGACAAGGTGTTCCGTCCCACGTTTGGTGCGCCTAAAACAGGTGGAACGAGCTGTTTCATGGGACGAGTTTTGGGTGAATTTTCGTTCCACCTCATCCCCCTGGAACGATTCGTTCCACATCCGTGGAACACAAAATTATAACCTCTCCGCCTCCTTCTTCTTCCTCCTTGTTTCCATCCGATGGCATCTTTGCTCCCACTCTGTTCCGTTCCGTTCCGTCCTGTCCCGTCCCGTCCTGTCCCATTCCGTTCCGTCCCGTCCCGTACCGTCTGCATACCAAACGATACCATAAGTATTCGTTCAACTTCAGATATATGCAAAAGTTTTGATAATGTTAAACCAATGAGACCTTAATTAGATATTCAATACATCTAACAATTACCATATCTACTTACAACATTTATATCCATAAGCAACAAGGCCATTACCAACAAAAATATCTAAATCCAATAGCAACAATCCAAAAAAAACGATACACACATACATAAACCGTACATACATGTCACACCATCACAGAACATGCACACCAGATCAAAGAATGCAACAGACTCTTAGCACAATTATTACAACTAGCACATGGTATGATTATGTAAAAATACAACCATAATATTATGAGAGTGACAGTTAAAAGAAAGTTGTGCATCCCTTAATAAAAGAGCCTTCCATATAAATGTTGAGTGCAACCGAATATATCTATGTCTCTATTTCTCTTGTTGCATGCCCGATTACACAGTATAGTCTCTCTAGCATGAATATTTGCAAAATCAATACTATTAGAGGCTATATTACCATGTACAACAAAAGAACACACAACAGGAGAGAAAATAGATACCATTACATATTGGAATGCTATTGGTATGATGGCTCTGTGGTATTTTTCTTAAACCCTCTATAACATTAGAAATTATAAACTTTTGGAAGGTGCTTTTAGCTTATCAGATAAGCCGATTAAAATCATAATTCATCTCCACTTTTCATCATAATTACCAAATTTATGATTAAGAAAAATACATTAAAAGCATAATCATATATTTCATATTTTTACTAAAAACTTGAAACTGGGGTATAAATGGCAAGGTCAGGCCACCCATTGGCCCCATTCCAGCAGCTTGAGGTTAAAGAATCACCATTTTGCAACCCCATACATCTCCTTGGATTTCCATTGCTCTGATCATGCTATAAGATTTTGGATTCCCTTCCCTCCTTAAGACTTGGAGTTGATGAGATAATGTGGGAGTAGAAACAGAGAGAGTTCCAGAGAGTTCATGCGAAAGAGATTGAGGGTTTCTTCCCCCTTCCCCCCGAGCAGAGAGAGGACCCGGAACAAAAGAGGGGCGTAGACCCCAGTGAACGCAAATAACCAATAGATTTATCTAAAAATGGAGGTATTTTACCAAAATGCCCTTGACTTTAAAGACCCGTAAAAACTTCGTTCTAAAACCAAATCTCGTTCCACTTGTGCCCACGGATTCCTAGCGATGAGTACTAAAATATTATACTTAGTGTGACTTTGTTAGGTCTATGAATTTTTTAACGATCAATGACCAAAATTCAAATTCGTATTTAGTTTAAGTAAAATCTAAAATTAAAATATATTCTAGAAGATAATATAAAGTCCTGGTAATACATAATATGTCAATTACAATAGTGAAATTCAGGAACGGGATTCCAAAGGTTACCCGACACACCAACGTGGGCTTACTGCCCACTTGTTGCCATGCAATCATGACCCTAACCCACTTGTTGCCATGCAAACATGAGCCTAACGGCTCTATTTTTTATCGTGCAGTCCGATTTAAATGGGCCGTTGGTTGATCCAACGGTCCACTTTCAAACTTTTTTTTTAGTTTTATATTTATATATTTATTGAACCAACAGTTGAAATCGAATGTGATCATATCTAACAGTAAAAAAAAGATCTAATGTCCCAAATTTAAATTCAACGGCTAAAATAATTAAAAATAATAATTTAATTCAAAATTCACCCAAAAACTCTATAAATACCTATATATTTGTTCAAACATCAACACAAAACTCACTTTTCTCCTACAATTCTTTCAATTTTTCTTTCTACCATCTTCCAAAACCATTTCTATTAATCATGGTCTATTAATGATCCGATTTAGTGATTTTTCTATAGCGCTTCATGAGTTTCATGTGTTGATTTAGTGATTTTTCAATATTTATTGGAATTTAAATATTTTTAGGTTAAAATGTTCATAAAATTAATTTAGGATAAACTACATTATTTTTTAAAAGTTAATTAAAAAAAATTAGCCTTATTTTTTTATTTTTTTTTTAATAATCTGAGGCTAAAATTTTAAGTTATAAGAGTTGGAGTAGAAAAACTATTTCTAATTAAAATCTAAATTTTTTTGAACTAAAATTTTTAAATTTTACTTCAAGGTTAGAAATGGTCTAATGCACAATGGGGGACATATGGATCGGGGATGTATATAGAACATAAGTGGTTTAACCAAACCTTAATAAATATTAAACAAAAAGTCCCCTCCCGAGAAAAAGAGAGAAAATAAAATTAGATAAGAAAAGAGAGAGGGTGAGGAACCGACAAATGGACACCGTCAAACACAAAAGACAGGGTATCTTGACATTTTTTGCGCGTTCGAACTTTTAGGTGCAACTGCTACCCAATCTTTCAGCTTTCGGTACAAGATTTTTGTGGCAAATTAATGATGATTTCTCTTGTTTCTTTATCCCCATATTTGGGTTCATCTCAAGCGACAATAGTAATATTACCCACCAAGGTTCAACGAAAATTGAAATCAAATTGTGAGATTAGTAGCGGATTTAAGAACTTTTCATTTCTAGCGTAAGATGAAAATTGGACGCCACTTTACCTAACTATTCTGTCTTAATTTTATTGTAATATTTTGTTGAACATCTTGTTTTCATGACGACCATGTCCAATAAGAATATCAAAGAAACATTTAACAATTTAATTTATAGCAATGATGGACGATGGGGCTAATTGATAGACTAAGTCTAACGTAGATCCACTGGTGTGTCAAATGTGAGCAGTGCTAGGATTTCAAGCCACAACATTCGTTGGGCGATTCTGATTGTTGGTGCAAGTGAAATTTATAATATATTAGTAATTACATTTAATTCGGTGTGCGTTTTTATAAAGGAAAAATAATAAAAAGGGTTTGAAGAACCTTGAGTTTTAATGATAAGGACAAAATAAAGGGTAAAGTGAATAGTATCAGGATTGACTTTTTAGTGTAAAAATGTGGTTTTTCGTTAAAATGAATAACATCGTGGGCTTTTCATTAAAACTCCATTTTTAAAATGATATAATTAGTTAGTGATGAGTGATTTCAACACACTTGTTAAAGAGTTAATGGACATAAACAAGCAGTTGTGCACAAAATGAATGTGCAAAAATCATTCCCTAAAGTCCGATTGCTATTGAATTTGGATTACACATGGAAACACAAAATTTCTGTAACAAATTAAATAAGAACACGTGTACAAAATAAAGTATTGTATTAATGTAATTTAGGGTAACAATCTCTTATTACAAAGTGTTAATCATTTGATTCGATCTCCGGGGTGCAGAAAGCTTTCTGAGTCTTCTGAGTATTTAAGAGTGTTTGGGGCTTAAGAGTTTGAGCGGCTGGGTGTGGGGTTGAATTTCTCCTCTTTCTTTGTGTTGGAGCCTCGTACTTATAGGCTCTCCAAGTGTTACTTGAATCTTGATTTGGTATTGATTGTGGTCTTGATTAATTAATGAAAGAACCGAGACTTGATTTTGAGTGTCATTCGTGATTTGCCTTTATCAAATAATCAAATAATCAGTCACATTTTAAATCAATTAATTTGTTTTATTTCAATTAAAATTAATCAAAGAATTAATAAAGATAATTCATTAATTAATTTCAACCAAATGTCGACACGTCTTACTCTTAATGACTCGTTCAGCTTTGATAAGTAACATGCTATGTGTACAATTTGTGACACACGATGCATGCCACATAAGTTTTGACATGTCGAAATTTATTATATTGATGAACATTTACTTCAATGAAACTTCGATATCTACAGCACAATCACACTTGCATCCAAAATTCTCAGAACCTGTGCCATTTAATGCCTAGTTGGAGTAGGAGTAGGACACACTCTTGCAATTGGCAAATAGTTGATTGATTATTCAAAGTGACAACATTGAGAATGAGTTTGTGTACTCTAAGAGCATCCTCTTCAATAGTGTCGGCAATTAAGTTATAGTTAATAAGCAAAAACTAGCTCCATTGTTATAGTTAACTAAGTTTGCAAATTTTACCTATTTTTCTAAGTCAACGAAGTTGCCTACAATACTATCAGTAGATAAATGCAGCCCCTGGTAAAATACGGCAGCTTGATTTGCCTAATCCATCGAAATATTTTCTATGAAACAATTAATAACATGTCACATCATCTAGATGGTCTCGGTATTCTTGGTTAAGATAGAAGCAGAACCTTCGGTTTCGTCCCACCACAAAAGGTTCCAATTCCATTCGCTCCTATGATTCTATCCTTAACGCGGCGGCAAAATTCAAGTTCCAAACTTTACTTTTCATCCCCAGCATTTTGCTATAAGTAACACAGTTCACAAAAAATCCAGTCATATTGATCTTCAATCTACGCAACTTCAAAAACTTCGGAAATTATTGGAAGACTGGAAACAAACCCATCGCTCGTTTCATCTTCTTGGTTAAAATCTACTCCAAATTTAGCAACTTTTGTATCAGAAACGGTTACAGTGGCAAGGATTTTAACATGGTATCTCTCTCTTCTCTCTCTCGAGATTCATTCTGTTTTTCTTTCATGGATTTGGTCTCTGAGAAAATGGGTACTCGGGAAATCGGTTTTTGGATATTGGGTACTGAAGATTTTGAGAATTTGCAGGGTTTAGGTGGAGGTTCTAATGTGGCAAAGGTCAATCGCAGAGAAAGTGAGAGCCTTTCAAGGAGCTATAGCGGCGGCTGCACTTCGTTTCCGTCAATATCAGAGCCAAAGCCAGAGACTTTGGCAGGGCCTTGCTTAGTTTCGTGCACGACTTTCAATATTTTGGCTCCAATCTATAAACGACTCGATCAACAGGTCCTATTATATCCCATTTGTGTTCTTCGGTGGTTTGATAATTATTTCGTTTTTAGAGCGGTTTGATAACCCACTTCATTTGATAATATTTTGTTTTTAGAGCCGTTTGATAATCACTTCATTTGATAGCTATTTTGTTTTTAGAGCCGTTTGACAACCATTTCGTTTGTAGATGTTCTCATCACAATATGGTTATCGAACGGTTAGTTTATTTGTTTTTGTGTTCTCAATTTCTTTGTGGTGTGTGTGAAGCAGAATCAAAGCCTTCGAGAGAGCGACTACAGGGAGTTTTGGGTGGCCAGGAACCAGAGGATTTTGGATTGGTTGCTCTATGAATCATCTGCCATTATTTGTCTGCAGGTTATATTTGAGTACCCTTTTGCTCTTTTGTGTAATTGCTGTCTGGACTTAATCCTAATATCGAAAATATTTTTGGACCTCAAACGAAATATCCCTTGTTACATATGAGAACAAAGTGAGCTTGTTTGAGGTTTTAAGGGTCGTGGCCCTTTCCAGCTATATGTGCTGACACTAACCCCTTTTTTGCAAAATTAGGAGTTCTGGGTTGGAAATGAAGAATTTGTGAATATGTACCTGGACAGGCTTGGTGATGCAGGCTATACTACCTTCAAGCTTGCCCGAACTAACAACCGGGGTGACGGTATATTGCAGCTTTGATCTATTCCTTAATGTCAATTTTAATACATTAGACTTATCTGGGATCATTCAAATTCAGTTAAATCTCATTATTGCTTTGGTCCATGGGCAAATTTGCAGTTTTTTAACTTACATTTATATGTTAATTCCAAGTTCACAACTGCAACATAAGTCAGATGCTGAACAACTTGAATGTTCTGAGAAAAATGTGCATTATTCTGCACAAATAGTTTCATGTTTCATGCATCAGTCCTTTGTCCCAACACTTTGGGGTTGAATTGGCCTTTTCTTTGTTATCTTTTCCCAGTACAATTTTCCACCGTCCCTTCTGTTTCGTCAGCAGTCTAAGATATAGGAGAGTTCTTCCACTGGTTCTTCATATATCAGCTAGCTTTTCTGAACGAGTTGTGTCTTACTTGTAGAATGGCCTTCCAGTTTGATATCAACTCGTTTCTTGATTTGAGAGTGTTGTCATGATTGAAATGAGCTTTTTAAGTACTATGCCATGCTCTATGGCTTGACTTATTGTATTTTCTCTATACAGGTTTGCTGACTGCTGTGCGGAGGGATTGCTTTAGTGTTCTAAACTATCGAGAGTTGCATTTTAATGATTTTGGAGATCGTGTTGCTCAGCTGTTACATGTTCAGTTAGCTTCCACATTTTCACAAAACCAGAGAGGAAACGTTCAGCAAGAAATGCTAATTGTGAATACTCACTTGTTATTTCCTCACGATTCCAGTCTCTCTATAGTGCGATTGCATCAGGTATTCAAAGTTTCGTTCTAGTTGTCAAATATTGGCATATCAAGGTCTACTTATTTTGAACAAGCTGCAATTGCAATCACTCTATCCGTTGTATCTTGCAATTTATAACAGGTTTACAAAATTTTGCAATTTGTGGAGTCATATCAGAATGAAAACAAGCTAAACCCGATGCCCATCGTACTCTGTGGGTGAGTCTTCTGTCTTGTCTTTCTTAGTTACTGTTTGATGACAAAATCTCATTTGTAATACTCTGAAGAAAACCTTTAAAATGTACATCGTTTTGAAGGTGCCAGCTATCCTAATTGGTAATTGCTTTTGAAGGCTGCCTTCACAACGGAATTTTAATAAATGGTAGGCTAACTCTGGTTGTATTCTTTTGTGTAGAATTGTCGGTCTTATATTTGTTTTCTTTTATGTTATTCTCAATGCAGTGACTGGAATGGAAGTAAACGTGGCCATGTGTACAAATTCCTTAGATCGCAGGGGTTTGAATCAACATATGATGCTGCTCATCAATATACTGATGCGGATGCTCACAAGGTTGGTGTTTTCTGGATTTAAGTTCTGAAATCAGTGACCTACATTGCGGCAACAGAGCCCATATATACAATGCTCATCATGCTTAATATTAACGGAATATTTGTATTTTATATCCTACAGTGGGTTAGCCACCGTAATCATAGGGGAAACATCTGCGGTGTTGACTTCATTTGGCTTTGTAATCCCAATAAGTCACGAAAACCACTAAAGACTAGTTGGTGCGAAGCTGTTTTTGGAATATTACGGGTAAGCAGTTCGTTTTCCATATTCTTTCTAATATCTTGCCACAGAAGGTGACTCTGTTCGTCAGATATATTGTGCACAAAAGCTCTGTTCAAAACTTCCAAAAAAATGCATTTGATCATTTACATTATAGTGCATGCACGCCCACGCCCTAGACAGTTTCCACATGCGATCCTAATAACTTCATTTTTCCTTTTGGGGTTTTCAGCGCCAGCTCCGAAAAGCTTCGATGGCTGAAAATGATGCATTTGCCATTCTAAAGGGTGATAGTGATGGTGATTTTATTACGACCTCAGCTTTCTGCGAAGGACTACATCAGGTTGGTTCTATTTGCTACTAATCTATATAAAGTTCAAATGGAAAGATCAGGCTTGCTCATGTATGTCTTTTGCAGGTTAACTTAATTGGTCATCCTACGGGACTAGGTTTCCAGGAGACGAGGGATCTCTGGATCCAAGCAGATGCCGACGCAAATGGTTTCCTTGATTACGAAGAATTTAAGGTACCTTTACATCCATAAAATTTCATCTATTTTCAGTTTGAACTTGCATTACCATTGTCCTCAAGTAGTAGTTACCCAAAAGATCTATAACATTAACATCTTGTGTCTAAAACCGTTGACACTGCAGAGTAGAATCTGGAGTTCGACAGCGTCAGAGGAAATGGAAAGCCTTAACGTTAGTAGAGAGGAGTCCAAACGAGGCACGCAGGGCGCCCTCGGCTTCAATGTGAAGAATGCAGTTCTATACCCCCGTGAGGCGGAGAAGGGAATATGGCCCGATGATTACACTCTCTCTGACCATGCTGGACTATCGGTTGTACTTTCACCAGAAAGGATGTGGTGTTGCCAGTCGTAAACCGCACTTAACGACGCACGCGTGGGCGAACATAAGTGGAGCAGAAAGGAATGTGCATAATCTGTAGGAAATGTGTACAGCCAACAGAGGAAAAGTCCCTTCTGGGGTACTTGTGTAGGTTTGATAGTTTTTTTCTGGTTTATATTCTTCATTGTTTTAATTGCTTCTCCCTAGCCCTGCCCAAATTATTTTTTACCTGAGAAATGCTAAGGAGAAGTAGACTCTCGATGGACTATCCGTCGCCTCATATTTTTACCATAACATTTTATAATTATAATTTTGAGACCAAAATTATTGTTAAACTATAAAATGATAAAGAACTTATAAAAAATTTCGCTTTAAGAGAACCTCTTTAGACCATCTCCAACAATGAGCTAAATGCCAAGTTTCCTCCCTTAGATCCCCCCCCAAACCCACTTCAACCCAAGTTAAATCTTTGGGCTAAAAGCCAAATGCCAAAGTTGGGCCAAATACCTCCCCCCCCCCCATGCGAGTGGACTCGCTGGCAGTTGGGCCACTCTCGGCCCAGTCACTCTCCAACGTGCCCACCCGATGGGCTTGTAGACGTTGCCCGATAGGGGTGGGCCCCTTTGTTATAGGCTGTCAGCCACCCAAAAAACCCCAACGGCTCTATTTTAAAACCAAGGGCTGAGATCTAAGGACCGTTGGATCCAACAGTCTAGATTCAAATTTAATTTTTTTAGAATATGTTATTTTAAAATACATTGAATCCAACGGCTGAGATCGAATATAATCAAATCTAACGGTAAAAAAAAAGATCTAACGGCCAAATTTAAATCCAACGGCTAAAATAATTAAAAAAAATTATTTAACTCAAAATTCACCCAAAAACTCTATAAATACATATGTATTTGTTCAAACATCCACACAAAACTCAAATTTCTCCTATAATTCTTCCAATTTATCTTTCTACCATTTCTTTCCATTTCCAAATTGTTCAACATGGCAAGAGAGCATATTAGAGGTCGTAATTGGACATGTGAGGAAGATGTTGGTTTATGCTTGGCATGAGTTTCTGTTAGTGAAGATGGTGTAGTTGGCACAAATCAAAATAAGAAAGTTTTGTGGGATAAAATCATTGCAAAGTTTCAAGAAAATTGCAATGGCGACGGAACGGTTGTTGAATTGAAAGTTGAAAGCTTGCTTTGTGGAAAATTTAGTGATTTTTCAATATTTATCAGAATTTAAATATTTTTAGATTAAAATGTTCATAAAATTAATTTACGATAGTCTACATATTTATTTTTTTTTAAATTTAATTTAAGGAAAAAAAAAGCCTAAGTTCATTCTTTAATAATCCTGGACTAAAATTTTAGGCCAGAACGATTAGAGCAGAAAAGCTGTTTCTAGGCTAAAAGCTAAATATTTTAGGCTAAAAAATTTAACCTTTAATCCAAACCATTAGAGATGGTCTTAGCGTTTTTCTTTTTAATTTTATCGGAATCATGTAATCTAAATTTCAATATTTTTATCGGAATTCAAATATTTTTAGATTAAAATGTTCATAAAATTAATTTACGATAGTCTACATATTTAATTTTTTAAATATTTATTGGAATTCAAATATTTTTCAATATTTAGTGAATATTTTTAGATTAAAATATTTAGTGAATTCCGATAAAGCATTAGAGATGGTCTTAGCGTTTTTCTTTTAATCCAGTTCATAAAATTTAGTAATTTTTCAATATTTATCGGAATTCAAATATTTTTAGATTAAAATGTTCATAAAATTAATTTACGATAGTTTACATATTTAATTTAAAAAAAAAATTTAATTTAAGGAAAAAAATAGCCTAAGTTCATTCTTTAATAATCCTGAGCTAAAATTTTAGGCTAGAACGATTAGAGTAGAAAAGCTATTTCTAGGCTAAAAGCTAAATTTTTTAGGCAAAAAATTAGAGATGATCTTAGCGTTTTTCTTTTTAATTTTTGGGGAAGCAGTGGGGAATCATGTGTGCGGCTCTCAGCTGTAATGTGGAATGCTTTGGACCAGAAACAAATGGATCTTGAAGATCCTACTTGATGATATATGATTAGATTGTGACTTGTATGGATTTGTCTTGTTGTTCTGCAAGTCCTATCAGGTGGGCCCACAATCATGTCAAAGAGAAATGCAGGCCGTTGTTTGCTTCTGTGTTTGTTGTCGGTACAGAGAAAAAAAAAAAAACTAAATTTGGAAAGTAGACACACTAAATTAGTAATTAGGTATGAGTTCAGCACATCTGCAGTTTTTCTCGTGCATTTTTTGGGTTGAACAAACCAAAACGGGAAGTAATGACGGAAATTAATCGGGTGTGTAAAAAGTTAAAAAAGATATTTATATGTCAATTTTTTTTTTAAATGTAGGTCTTGAAATTTACAAGCAAATCTTAACTATCACGGAAATCATCATCTCATAATTCTTTTTCCATTTCCCTACTTTTGAACACTATGGTTAACAAGATTATTGCAAGTAACCACACTTAAGTGAATTACAAAAGGAGTGAGACAAATATATTATAAAAAATTTCCTCGTGTTACGCTCAAAGAATTTTTCAAAAACGGTTTTGAACTCGCAAAAAGGTTCTCTAAGGTGAGATATAATATATATTTATAAAAGGTAAAAATTCATTATTGTCCACTCACTCATCTTCAAAAATATACCTTGGAAGTGATGGTACATGGGGACATATTTTGATTGAATAACTACATGGGAATGCTACTGACCTTTTCAATCAGACTTTCTCGATCGACCTCATTCACTCTCTTTTCCATCTTGCACGATAGATCGCATTCGTTTACTTTTTAATTCATGCTTTAAAATCAGTACAGAAAAATATTCAATTGCCCTTATTTAATCTGCTATGGACCAAAATGGGGTACAAAATTTCTCATATCATCTTCAAGGGAGGTAGTATTTTAGTAGCAAAGTTAGATTTGTTATGTCACGTAAGAAAAACGCATATCCAACTGAGGTAGCAACTAAATTAGCAAATTAAAGAATTAGCAACTCACACTGTATACTTACCGGACAATTGCTACTTTTTCAAGTTATAAATTGAGTCTTGCAATATATTTTCATCCAAAAGTATTTGTTTAGTAAAGAGTTTGAAAATAAAATTTGAACCCACAATTATGATAAAGTTAAGACACTTTCCAAAACAAAAACGGCACTCTTATCATCTATTTGTATCATATCTCTATATTTTAATAGAAATAAAATTCACATCGTTAACGGGCTATGCCTTTACTAGAAAGATGATACAAATAAATAATCAATACAATATTAGTAATTCGTACGAAAATTTTGATACGATAACAATAGCGATTCTATCGAACCCACCCCTAAGTATTATTCTTCAAAAGAAAATTTGCTCAATTCATTCGGAGATGCTGACATGATCCCTCGCTTCTCAGTCAGTTCCCAGGAAGCAGACCCAGCCGTAGAGCAAGCGGTCCCACACGTAGGACTCCTTAGCGTCCCACCAAACGCCATGACAACAAAAATTCCACATCCCACGAAAAAGCAGAAGCAGAAGTTTAATATCTTCTTCCATTAAGCAAAAAGCACCCGCTGAAAGCCGAAGACTTTGATCAAACCCCAAGTCAATGTCCGTACTCTTTCTCCTGTGTTTCTAATCCTATACAAACCCACCCAGATTCCGATTCTCCTTCATGAAAGATAGATGGCTGCTAATAGAAACCGCTTCACCAGAGCAGCAGCAGGTGACCTGACGATGCCATTGGGATTCCGGTTCCGCCCTACAGAAGAAGAGCTGATCGACTATTACTTGCAGATGAAGCTCGAGGGTAAGGATTACCTTGTCAGCGACGTCATCCGTGAAATCAATATCTGCAGCCACGAGCCATGGGACTTGCCTGGTAATTATTTTCCAAACCCAGGTCTTAAATTTTCATTAGCTTTCTTAGTTCAATGAGTCTGACAATCTGTATTCTCCATTGGGTTTTTGGGTTTAATCCAAATGTAAATTAATTACCAAACCCAGTTCTTAAATTTTATTTTTTAAATTTTGCTGAAAGTTTTAGTAAAAACTTTGAATTTACAGTTCAATGAGTCTGACACTCCGTTTATGCAATTGGGGTTAAGTCCAAATGTAACTTTATTATCAAACCCAGTTCTTAAAAAATTCAATCTTTTTATTTATTATTTTTACGAGAATTTTACTAAAACTTTTCAATTTGCAGTTCACTGAGTTTGAATCTCTGTTTACTGTTTAGGGGATTGAGTTTAATCCTATTGTAACTTATTACAAATCCCAGTTAACTAAAAGTTATCTTGTTTGGGTCGCAATTTTACGAAGGCCAGTGATTTCTGCACTCTTCTGTGAGTTCGAAAAATTATAAAATGTTTCTTTTTTTAAGGTGTAAACAGCTGAAAAATGCAGTGCGAAAAACGCTACCCCGTTTCTTGAATGAGTTTGATAATCTTTATATGCAATTGGGTTTGAACCAAATGTTGTGTTTTATGCAGGGTTTTCACTCATAAAATCGGATGATCAAGAATGGTACTTCTTCAGCACTTACAAAAAAAACAACAGAAACCAGACCGAAAGGGCGACGAAGAACGGCTTCTGGAAGATCACTGGTGCCCAAAAACCGGTCAAGACTCAAGACAATAGAACTATCATCGGTAAAAAAAGGATTCTAACTTTTTACCGAGGTACTGTTCGTAATTCCCAAAGGACCAACTGGGGTATGCATGAGTATTACATTCCCCAAACCAATCCTAATGCTAATCAGGTCACCATTCTCGTTCTTTTTTTGGGTTTATTGTTTCCGAATAATGTTATCGATATGCTGTATAATTTGCCGCGTTGTTTAACAGGTTTTATGAGGTAAGTTCTAAACTGGAGGCTTGAGGAGTCTTTGTTGTGAAACCGAAGCCTATTTGGTTTGGTTCGAAGGGGTTTTGGTTTTGAAATCATTGAATGGATCAAAAGCGAAACCCCTTTGAGCCAAATTGGTTTTAACGTAAATGTGCTAAGGTTAATGACTTTTGTTTTATGTTCTTGAACGAACGATATTATCTACACTAGGGGGGGTGGGGGAATGGGCTAAGCCTCACAATGGGCTAGCAATAATGTGGTTCAAATTCGCCTTTGGCAAGTAATTGAACCTAAGACTTCTCACTTACAAGTGAAGAGGAATACCATTAGACCATAGTACTAAGTGGCCTTTTGGTTTTGAACCCTTATTTAATTTTGTGTTGCTGCCACTGCATTACATGATTTGTTTTGCAACTTAATTGTGCAGAGGGATTTCGTTCTCTGTTGCGTAAAGAAGAAATTAGGTGAGAATGTGGATGCTGCAAACTGTGATGAAGGCGAATATATTACTTACAACAATGAATCTGATTTCGAAAATCAACTGCTACGAGCACTTGGTATGGATATTGAAGAGGTGAGAATGTTGAACACGAATCCTGATTAACTTCTTCGTATATGTAAACGGTGCAAAAGAAACTGATTTAAAACCTTGCTTATTTATGGTTCACAATGTAGGAGCATACTCAGCAACAACAAAGCATGGACTATTTTGAGAGGGAAGAGGGTCGTATGCTTGCAAGTGCCCCTGGTAATAATGATTACCATGGGTTGCAATATGCATTTGGAGCTGATGAACCAGATGATAAGTTCGCAGAGTTCTTAAATTCAATTATTGTTGACAGGGATCAGGATGAAACAACTCATGCTAACATCTTCAACGACTCCACTCATCCTGATACAACTCATGCTAACATCTTCAACGTCTCCACTCATCCTGATACAACTCATGCTAACATCTTCAACGTCTCCACTCATCCTGATACAACTCATGCTAACATCTTCAACGACTCCACTCTGCCAGAGTCAATTACGAGGGTGTATTTTGAGGATGAAGCATTAAGCAGTGACGCAGACACAGAAATACTCCTTGCACAGGTAACAAAAAATAAAATAAAATAAGAAAAAACCACGTTCCCCATAGAATAGAAGCTTAAATCTATATTTTTTTGTTGTGTTGGTAGTTTTCACTGGCAAACGCTAAAACTTTGCTCAACTTTTTGGTGCTGGAGGCTTTGGAAACACATTCATGTTTTTAGACCTTTTTTTTTTTTTTTTTTTTTTTTTCAGGAAATGAGTTTACAAATGCTTAGTGAGCCACCAGTTGATTCGAGCCACTCCAGAAGACAGGAAGGTGTTATGCTTTGCCAGGCACAGGCTGCTTCCTCTGTCAATGTAGTACCTAAACCTCAGACTGATCATCTTCAAGTAGTCACTGATGAACATTCTGGTATACATCGTCGTCAATTAGTTAATGACGAGCATTCTGGTACACATCAAAGAACAAGCAGGCCGCAACGTGAATCAAGACACAATAATGCCTTAAACGTAAAGAATGCTTCCTCTGTGGATGTAGATGCAGAATTACCTCAGATTAAATGTATTCGATTAGCCCCTGACGAATACTATAACAATGAAAGAACACGCAGAAGAACAAATCCAACAAGTGCCCTCGAAGCACTAAGCAAACAGAAAGAATTAAAACAGCAGCAAAGCAAGGTGAGTGAGAGAACCCAAAACTGCAGCACGGAGAACATGAATAATGATTCTTTGTAGAGGCTATTTCCACAACTTAATTTGGTTTATTTTTGCAGGCAAAAGAAGCTGCAGAGCTTCGAGCTGCTGTTGATTTTCCTCCGAAGTTGACCTCTATATCAAAGTCTAACAAAGAAGCAGAGGTGGCTCAAGGTAATAATGCAGAAAAGGGTGTGAAGCAGACACAGAACACAACAATCACTTGCAATTGGAAGGGCTGTTCTTTCATTTCATGGGAGACATCCCCCCCATTAACAAGTCCCCCATCAGAATACCTTTTCAACATGTTTCTAGGCATAATAATGTTCTGCTTTTTTGCTTGGCAAGTAATTTTATACGGGTAGTGGTGCTAGAGGGGTTCATTCACCAGAAAAATGGCTAGTTTTTGTTGACTGTCACACAACGAGTAATGCCATACTTACTGGTTACTTATTGCTGCTCTAAAATGTGGGAGTACCAGCCACGGTTTGCAGTGATGAATTGTTTATATTTGGTATAGCCTATAGAGTTTGACTTTTTTCTGTTTCTACGGACCATATGTAATGATGGATGGCTAGTCCTGGAATCTCAACATAATATATTGTTTTTTGCTTAATCATTTAGAGAGCAGGGATTCGAACTTTTGGGATATCTTCTTAAAATTGTGAAATAGAAGCACTACTAGACCATGGTGTTGTTCGTGTTGTTAGAAGTTTAAATGTTTTTCGTTTTTCTATAGTTGCAAAAGAATCATTTGGGGAGCGAGGATTTGAACTAGTAGGATATCTTTTAAAATTGTGGAAGTTGAAATGTTTTTCGTTTTAATATAATTTCAAAAGAGTCGCTCACTGTTACGTTTGGTGATATTCTTCTTTACTTGTAAATGAAAGGTCTTAGATTTGAATCTCATGGATTGTGAATTTGATACCAAATTAGGTTACCCATTGTGTGGCTTAACCAAACTCCCTCTCCTCTTATTATAAAATATATCGTTGTACTAAAAAAAAAATTATTTATATTTTAAAAGAAATCATTTGGAGAGCAAAGACTTGAACTTTTCGGATTTTCTGAAATTGTGAAAGAGAAATATATGTTCACTTTAACGAAATGCTCATTGTACTGTTCACTTTAACGAAAAATTACATTTTTACACTAAAAAGTTAATCATGGTACTATTCACTTTACTTTTTATTTTGTTCTTATTGTTAAAACTCAAAGTTTTCAAACTATGTTCATTAGTTTTCCTCACAAAAGGATAAAAAAGAAATGACTCAAAGTTTTCAAATTATGTTCGTTTTCCTCACAAAAGGAGGAAAAAGAAATGGGGTGAGAGAGGCTCGAACTCTCGACCTCAGGATAACTCAGAAGCTATGAGACCTACGCGCTAGCCAACTGCGCCACCACCCCGCTGCTGTTCAAGGTTTGTGTTTATATTCTAAACGTACCTACAATTATACAAAATGGGCCATTTACCGCCTATGTGTCATGGTCCACAGCTGCACAATCCACCTCAAAAATTTTGCTTGGTGAAAAACGGTTTGAAGGAGAGCTGCATTACCATTCAAATTTGATGCTTAGAGAAAGATTAAAGCGACCTTCCTAGACACATTTACCGAATAATACTGTGGTTTATATCTTTGTGCATAACACGTGGGTATTGAGAACTTACCAATCAGTACTCAAAATACTCACTTGTTACGTGGATCAATAATTTTGTGACATTTATCTCTTGTTATGTGAATAACCAAATGCCTTTTTTGGATACCGGGTACCCAACCTGACCTGGAGTACCAACCAATTACAAGCAGGCACGCGGCCTGCTTTCTTTTTCAATTAAAACAATTTCTGTACTTCCAAGACGGTGGGCTCCATAACTGAGAAGGTAACGGCCGTCATGGCCTCTGCACAGATCTTCTCAATTCCCTTTAGCTTTTTGCGCGAATATATATTTTTTTTTTTAGCTGGGTTTTTCACAATTTCAAACATTCATGCATTTATGCATAGTATGAATGTTTTGGGCAATACATGGCGGCAGATTGCAGTGACTTTTTAAGAAAATGCAATTGTTATCCTTTAATTTCTCAACTGATTGGTGTCTCCATAAAAGGGCAGTGGAAGGCCATCGGAGCAAGGACGAAACCGAGGACGGACGGGTATTCATTGTCAGCGGCAGTTTGACAGACTTTCTCCGATTCCGGAGCCGCCGATCGGGTTGAAGCGTTCGGGTCCAGGGTGTCCGGTGACGCAGCTGAAGAGGAAGAAGGCGGTGAGGCTTTTTATTCCGATGATGTCGTCGGGATTTGGGGTGGGTCCAACGATGCCATCGACGGTGGAAAGGAAAGAGGTGGTGAATGCTTAACGTTTGTCGGATGTTTCCTTGGTTTTGGATTACGTGTTCATATGTATTTAAAGAAAAAAAAATGTTAAAAGTCCTGTGTCCATCTCTTGTTGCTCGGGTACACCAGCTATCAATCTTATGTCGAGTTCCCGACTCCTTGAAAAATTTCTCCTTCCTTCATGGGAGATCTGGTCAATCCCTCGCCTCCTTCAGCTTTTGCCTTTGTTCCCATCGACCCAACGTCGTCATCTTCGTCATTCCCACCCGTCTCTACCATCGACTCCGCCCCCAATCCGTCCCCTTATTTCTCATGGCAGTGGAGGAGGAAGGTGACAGCGAATCATGAAATGGTTTCAAGGAAGGTTTTGTATTGATTGACATGGAAGAGGATGAGGCTGATCATATTTGCAACGGCACGGATAAGAGAAAACTGAAAAAATGGATGTTTGGTTATGAGTACAGTGGAATTAGTGTTTGGTTATGAATTTAAATGAACAGATGTTGTAATATTATTGAGCCATTATAATAGGTCAGTATATATTGGGTACTGAAAGATGTATACCCAAACTGAAGTATTGTCCTACCTTTATTCTGTGGAATTAATCCTATCATCTATGAATTATACACTTATGATATTATGGATTAAGTGAAAAATGGGAACAAAAAGGTGTGAATGAATGGTACAATATATACCTGAGGTGGGGTAGTCAGTAGTGTACTAGAAGACTACTTGCTGAGGAAGTACTTGAGACTTGCTGAGGAAGTATTAGATATCTCCATCCTCCAATCACAAAATTCAAACATATTTATGTAAAGAGGGAGGAAAGAAAGGGATTAAACTTGGATAAGGGCACTCTTCTAGATCACTTATGTGCCTCAAATCTCATGTATTTTAATCTCATTTGATCTCACATTGAGATGTCTTAGTAGAGAGTTAATGACATCATAGATGAAAACCAACCAACCCTGGCACTGCCAATTGCAATAGAATCTGGAAAGGTGAGGAAATGGATGAGTCGCGGACTAAGTTGCTCTCTTTAAGACGTTTCACGGCTCTTCCCAAAGTGTGCAAGCAGTTCACAAACACCACGTCGTTCCCAAGTCAAAACAGCCCAAAACCTTCTCCCTCTGATAAGTTCTTTCTTGCACAATGAAAGAACTTTCGAACTCACACCCTTTCTATATGTTGCTTTAGAACTCAATTTTTAAGAAAAATATATACGTTGTTGTTTCTCTATATATTCCTTCGATATAGGGAACCTATATATATGCACAAAGATAAAGTATACGTTGCAATTTTGACAAAATTAGAGACTTGAAAACCTTAAAAAACCAAAATGAACGAAACCAAAACGGATAAAATCAAAAAGTAAATATTCAAAATGGAACAAAAGAAGGAATGGGACCTGATCATCTTCTCTATTCTAAGAAGGAATTCCATCAAATTATTTAATGTGAGAAGCTTTCTCACGTTTCAAAGTTAGTGAAGGAGATTGCTCCTTATCAAAAGATAAGGTTAAAAATCAATTTAGGTTATATACATTCAATGGTTGTAATAAACCAAAATATATAAACCACAACAGACAAATACATAGCAATTAAAATATTTAAATAAAAACATATTTACTTCAACAAATCATTTCTATGATTGATAAATGCTAAGAAGACTCTTAAAAGTATAATTCTCTATAAACTCATTATCATCTCATGTTTTTTTTACAGTATTTTATAATATTGAAACAAAAATTAATGTTAAACTCTAAAGTGACAAAAGGACCATGAAAAATCTCACTTTAAAAAATTTTCCTTAGCATTTCTTATTATTATTTAATTTTGAATTTGTGAGAAATGCTAAAAAAACTCTCTAAAAGTAGAACTTTCCACATACTTCTAATCACTTTACAATTTTATAGTACTAAATTTATAAAACTTGGTGCAAAACATGAGATGATAGAAAAATCAAAGCTCACTTTTGAGAGAGATTTGCCTATACCATTACTCTTGGATTTGTAATTCAACGTAGGAAAAGGACCCGTAAGTCCGTAACTTTTGACAGATTTTAGGACTTGGGGCAGATTCCAAAATGTAAAATATTCTAAAAGCTAAACTTCCCAGAAAAGTTTCAAAAAACAGAAAAACTTCCCAGAAAAGGAAAACGAACTTCCAAGAGGGGGTTGATCAAAAGGACAAAATATAATAATTAAAGAGAAAAAAATGCGTGGCACGTCAGCAAACTTGATCAGAAGGATCAAATACTACTGGAGTTTTCTCAAGTGAGTTGTAAATTAATGCTCATATAATGAAATGTTTAACATGTTTCATAAGATTGAAATCCTTGCTCTTATATTATTGTTTTTGATAATTATTACATCATATTAAATATTGTATTCTTTTTAATCAATTCAAAGCAATTTATATAAAAATTTACTAAATATTTAGACACTGCTTACTTTATTAAAAGATTTTGTATTGATTGACATGGAAGAAGATGAGGCCGATCATATTTGCAATGGCACAGATAAGAGAAAACTGAAAAATGGGGTGTTTGGTTATGAGTACAAAGTGGCATTAGTGTTTGGTTATGAATTTAAATGAACAGATTTTGTAATATTATTGAGTCATTGTAATAGGTCGGTATATATTGGGTACTGAATGATGTATACCCAAACTGAAGTATTGTCCTACCCTTATTCTGTGGAATTAATCCTATCATCTATGAATTATACACTTATGATATTATGGATTAAGTGAAAAATGGGAACAAAAAGGTGTATATGAATGGTACAATATATATGTGAGGTGGGGTAGTCAGTAGTGTACTAGAAGACTATTTGCTGAGGAAGTACTTAAGACTTGCCCAGGAAGTATTGGATATCTCCATCCTCCAATCACAAAATTCAAATATATTTATGATAGGATACTGTTGGTGATATTTGTACAAGGTTGTGATAGGTTGATATTGTTAGTGAGAAGTGTCTGGGAATCATTGATTGAATGTTGTGGTTGTTAATTGATGATTAGTTAGGAAAATATCGTGTAACTACCCTAGCTTGCAATCTAGTATAAATACTGGATAATTGTGCAAATGCAGGATCATGATTTGTAACAGAAGTTTGTTAGTAATACAAGAGGAATTATCAGCATATGAGTAAAGGTTAGAACAAGGGTTCTATTATTGGTATCAGCCAGTAACAGATCTCCACGTTTCCCTTCTTGTATGACGCGCGCATCTACGCGTGCTAACACCATGGATGCACGGGTAACGATTCTTGAAGGCTCCG